TAGTGTTAAAGATCCTATATTGATTTTCTAAGACATGAATTTCTTCAAATTTTGGAATAAGTATTCCTCTTTCACTTTGGGTTGGTTTTAACCAATCGAAGAACCCTATCGTATGTTTATTTCTTTTTAGAAATTTATTATATTTTTTATGGATAGTATCTATTATTTCTTGGGAAAATTCATTCAAGTACCAATTTCTTATTTTTGAATTTTCTTTTGATAAATAATTATTTTTTAATAGTTCTAAATCTATTTTTTCTCTTTTTTGCAAAGTCATGGCATGAAAATCTAAGTCTGCGTAAGAGAGATTACTATTATTGCTATTTGATGGATTATTATTTGTTTGTTTGTATTCTGGTATATGTATGTTATTTCTAGTTCTTACTAATCCTTGGATTTCTGGTTCTTCTTGTAAAGAAGACGTTGATTGTCTGAATGGTCCTATTATTCTTTTTGGGGGTTTTATTGAATTATCATTTTTAATATTTATATTAGTTTTTCTATTATTATTAAACTGGATTTCTACTTCTCCATCTGAATATTCTATTATCTGGTCGGGGGTCTTGTTTATATGAATTCTATATTGCTGATTTTCATTTTCAATAGACCAGTCTTTTGGGAGTACTATTTGAGACCAATCTATTATTTTTGGTACAATTGTATTTGACTTTTCAATATTTGTTTGAAAAAATATAGTATGTCATTTTGTATCTACTTGTATTACATTTTGGACATAATGTATTCATAATTTTATAGCAGATTCTATATACTAAAGCTAGATTCTGCGATCCTGGGTTCATGTCAAATCTTTGAGTTTTTAAATTGAGAGTTAGAACTTTGAGTATATTAGGATCATTAAGAGCTACGGAATAATTTGAGAAGCAATTAAAATATACAGGGCCTGAGCATATAATAGATTTTACTATTCCTAATAGGGAATCTGTAAACTTATTGTGTCTATTATCTCTTAAACATAATAAGATTGAATTAGTCAAACCTAATCTTGTCAAAGGTTTTATCGCGACTTGGACAAGTCCGATATGAAGATATTGGTATCCTTTTTCTTTATGAGACTGTATTACTTTATTAGATAATAGTTGGAAATTTTCTTGTTCACTGTGAACCGATAGACTCTGTTCAACAGTTTTTATCGCATATCTTGTTTTCAGTTCCAATGTTCATTTTTTATAAACATTAGTTATTGGTATTTTAGGAATATTCCAATTCTGAATATGTTTCTCTATATCTCCTATTACAATTTCTTCCTTATTTTTTATCTTTAGAGTGTTACTAGCTGAACCTAATGTCTTATTTGATAGGTTTCTGATAAAATTTTCTATTGAAGTTACGGATGATTCTCTAGACAACCATCATAAAAAGTTTATATCAGGATGCCACTTATAATGGAGAACTATGAATGCCCTTAAAAAATCCATTAGAAAAGGTAGTTTTAATGTTCTTTCGATTGATCATCTCGACATCGAGATGTATGATGATGAAAAATAAAAAGATTTTAAGTCTCAGAAATAGTGCATTTTACAACATATTATCTATACCGTCGATTTTTATATGTTTACAGATCTACTTGATTTTAATCATTTTTTAAATTTAAAAATTTATAATTAGATATAAAAATAGATTTTGAAATAATTCAAAGAACATTTTACATCAAAATTATATACCATGATAAAATTTGAAGGTCCACCTTACTTCTACACGTACGATGCATTCGTATGCAAACTACAGCCATCTAAAAAGTAGGAATTTGAGATTTGAATTTTGGATTTTAAACCAATGGCAATCATTTTGATGAATGGGTGGACAATTTGCAAAAATCTGGCTTTTAAAATTAGGATGGGCTTGCTCTCTCGGTAAACCCTTCTTGTATCTCTAAACACTAGAAATTTGGTTTCAAATCCCAAGTTTTGTAGAGGCAAGCTTCATGAGAGAGAGACTGAGCTTTTTGATCTTTTGGGAACGCAGGAGTAAGTAGAAAGAGAGACATTTAGGTCATCTTGCTGGATAGAGGTTGCTCTTGTCTCACAAGTTCGCCATTACCCAATTTTCTACTGAAAATTCTCCCTACCTCCCATTTTGCCTCTCTCTTCCTTAGACGTGGGGATGTTTTCGTCTCAACTGCGGAGGATACTAGGAGTCCTTTGAGCTTTAGAAGAGCAGAGTTTGAGCATCAAGCGCATAGAATCGAAAACACATGGTGCTTTCAATTCTTAGTTTGCATAAGTTCCACTTGCTATCTGCTTTCTAATTCTTTCAATGAGGATGAAAGGCACTTTCTAGCGGGTTTCCGCATGGATACAGAGTGGATGGACAATTTGCGCCGAGTGTTTTTATGAGAGACAAACGGAAGGGAGAGAGTAGGGAGGTAGTTTTGAGCGGAAGAGAGAAGGGAGGGGAGTTTGATGAGGTTAAAAATTTAAAAGTTCTTTTATTTTTTAGGAGAGGTTTGGGTATGTGAAAATCTATCGCTGAAAACATATTACAAGAAAATATGATATTTACGGTATGGTAAGAAGATGAAAATAAATTAGATAAGATTGTCGTAAACTCTGTTACACAACACAATTAAAATAAAAAATTTCACACAATATGATCATCGTAATAGATTAGTAAAAACTCAATTGAAATAATCTCCTCCAATGTCTGAAAATTTTATCAAACCTTCTACTTTACTAATTAAAGTTCTTCCCATTTTTTAACTTGTAACATAAATATTTTGAATTTGATATCATAAATTTATTGTTTATTTAAAATTATATAGAGAGACATTTGAAAGACTTCTATAAAAAATAAATAAAAATAAAGCTTATCATAATAAAATCATGTTATTCAAATCATATTATTCCAATGACTTATCATATTGAAACCAAAGTCTAATTATGTTAGAAGACATGTGATTTCATCTAAGTGCTAAATGCATGCAAAATAAGTAGGAAATTGTATCTTGATGACTTTAGAATGGTACAAGTTATTATTAAAAAATCTTTTTGGAATAGTGTGATGATGACTTTAATTCCGTATTTCAATCGAATTTTGTGACAAAAAATAAAGAAACGATAGTTTATAGGCAAGTGTTAGTAAAATATTGGTATTGTATTTCTCATATTTCTTTTAGCTAAGCAGTAGCAATGCATTTATCAAGTTGCATCCAAATACTACTCAAACAATAACAATCCATTTGTAAGAAATGTATTATGCCAGTAATATATTACACAAATAATATATTTTCTAGGTATGCAAATGACTCCTTATTGTCAAAACAATGGTCTAAAGTCTCATTTTATTTAATGTTTGTGACAAAGAAACATAAGGGCATTAGGAGTAAAAAAGAGATTTACAAGTTATTTTAACTTGAACCTATATTATTCGGGGGTTGTTAACTCTAAAAAATCCTTTTTTTCTTTTTCAATTGTTTTAGATGGATTTATTATCATTAGATGAACAATGTTAAAAAATAAAAAAATATTTTGAGTTTGTAAAGCTAAGATCTTGAAATTCACCAAATAAATGGTCTAAATTCGTTATTCGAGGGGACTCATTTTAATCATATCTAAGGTTTAAATTGAATTTTTGCTTTTTGGAGATTGATTATAGAGATGCAGAGAGTGTATTGAGATGAAGAGAGTATATGTGTAAATTTTTGGGTCATAAAAATATTAAAAACATGGTTTTCTAGAAGTTTGGTTGTATTATAGTATAATACAACCATTGTATTTTATCAAAATGAGTCATCTCAAATAACGAATCTATACCATTAATTTGGTGAATTTCAAGATCTTAGCTTTTACAAACTCAATAATAATTTTTTTTCTTTTTTAACATTGTTCATCTAATGATAATAAATCCATATAAAAAAATTGAAAAAGAAAAAAAATCTTTTTAAGGCCTAGATCAAAGCATCTTATCAAAATGGATGTCTTATATTAATTGGAGCTAAAAAAAATACTTTATAGGTTGCGTTTTCAAATTTTTCCTTTTTGTAATTATTCATTATAATGAAAAGAGTTTATATTTAAAATTTACATCCAACAAATAACCCTAACATAATTTTTAAAGGATGGTTGCACTGTACTGATACAACTGTTGCATGACATCACTGCCCATAT